GGTGAGAAGAAGAATTATCTTTTTATTTTGTGCTTCACGTGTGTTCTCTTTAAGAATTTAGATTTTAAGAGCTGACAATGTAGATCTGCTCCCTCTATCGGTATCCACACGAATAACTCTCTAACTCGATTAGTGTGTTAGTGCTCCCAACGTCTGTTCATCTTCGAACGTCGGTTTTTTTTTCTTTAGAGTGTTTTGTGGCTCTCAAAGTGTTTTGACTGTCAAAACTTTTTTAACTCTCAAAACCTTGATAAAGCAAATCCATAATATACATACATATATATATATATTAGGGTTTTTGCCTTCCTTTTGAAGAACTAACAAAAAAAATTAGATTAAATTTATTTCATAAATAAAATCTATAATATCAAATTTAATTCAAATTTATCTCATAAATTTAAATTATATAACTGATATGATATTCTCTCATATTATGTTAGTTATTAAATTTAGTCTATCATATAAAATTAAATTTAAAATTGATATGATATGATATGTATATATATTCATATTATATATATATATATATATATGTATGTATGTATGTTACACGAAAATACACATACATGTATATATATTTCAATATATATATATATATATATTATATTTTATATTTTATATTTCATATAAATATATATATAATTCGTTCACCTTATATTACATTCATTGAATTTAGATATATTTCATATTCAATAAACTTAGACATTGCAGCTCGAGTTGGGCTATTTTGTGTGTGACTCTGTAGGCTTATATAAAGTTGGTAGTAACTAATTACGCTATTAGTCCACAAGTTGTAAGTAGCCTCTAGCAAGACATTACAACCATCAAATTTATATAGGGATCGAAGATCCAATACAACTTATCATATAATTATATCACATTCATTTTGTCATGTGATATTTCAATCAAGTGTGAGACATAAAATTATCATTTTCATTTACCTTACCATTACTTTTTCAGTCTCAGAGTGGACTAACATAATATGAAAAAACCCTTTCTATTATAATATGACCATACATCTTCTCAATCTCACTTATCGAGGGGCCCAGCAATATCTCTTAATTAACATGGGGAATAAACTTCATCTTGACCACTCATATTCCTCTACATGAATATCACTAAACTCAATCATAGCCTTTATAATCACCCAATTAAAGATGGCTTTTGACTAGGTCAAAGTTTAGTGATCATCATGTAAGAACCCATGATGATTTCAGGTCAAAGAGCTTGGTGATATGGCTATATATGACATAAGCTTATGATCTGTATCATGTAACTTTCTTATAGCAGGTCGGTCTAGCACCTTGTACTCTTTTAAGTACCTATGACTTTTATTTATATCTCTATAATTAATCAAAATTATACTAGTCTTGTTTCATCTATGATCTCTCATAAATGATTGACCAAGGACATTTAAAACAATCACTATAGTTTGTCTAAAGATACAGTTATCATAATGAACATGAAATTAATATGATAACAAAAGAAAAATTTATTAAATAATAATATTTATTATACAATAATTGGCCTTAGGGCTCAATTTCCAACACCATTTTCTTATCGAGAATTTGTCCCATTGTTTGTCGAGGGACACTGCTTTAACTCGCCTATACTTATTCTCCAAAGAGACTAATTTAGGGCTATGACAGCCCACTTGTTATTCGAAGGGGAACCTAACCAATGGTTCGGTCGTGTCTTGTGAGCTTGGTCAACTCATACCACTTAATCAAAGAGCTTGTTTGGAGCAACCACTAATAAGGATATTAACCTAACCTATAGGTTTAGTCAGGAGAAATAAGGAGGATATAAAATAGGTTAATGACCATGCATCTCATTGAATAAATGTCACATAATTGATAAATTTGTGATTGGATAATGTTATTTGTTGTGAAAATGTGAATTTGTTTGTTAAATATTTGTTCACTTTCAATGCCTATGATTAATTAGCTTCTATATTCATGATTCAGAGAACTCTGGTTACTAAATGATCATTATACTTACCCCTCTCTATAAATATATTATAGGAGCTAATTTAAGAAAGAGCAAAGGGGAGGTATCAGAGGCATGAGACTAGGCATATTCTTCATTAATAAGTAACCCAATGTGAATAATAAGTACTTTATACAATGGTGACTACTAAATATCATTTCACAAACCTTGTCTCTCTAAATTCAATATTACAATAATAGCAAATCTTATCCTACTAGTCAATACCAAGTCTGGATAAAGAAAAAAGGGTTGTGTTAAGCCCTCAGTAGTTAATGTAAAAATTTGTTAAATCTTATATGGATATGAACTCCTTAAATTCAATATATATACACATATATAATATTTTGCTTATATTTATCAAATGGTTTCAAGGGTCTGTCGATTTCATAATTTTTTAGGATCCAAGAGATTGTGTCCTCAAATGTTACCATCGCTAACTCATGACCAATAATTCCTTCACTACTATTGTAGCTCTAGTGGCCAACACAAGGAATTTGGTTACTTGTGGTGGATAGTTTTTTTTTTTTTACAAAAAAAGTAAAGTAAGAGTATTTTAGCAACTAAAATAAAATATATTTAAAATAAAAGATAAAAAATGATAATAAAACCTCTCCTCGAGGATCTCTTTTTCATTAACTTTTTTAGTAAAAAGATAATTATACCCTTTCTCAAAATAACAAACATCATTCATCACTTTTGTTTAAAGAATTACAATTTTTGTTCAAAAAATTATAAGAATTAAATAAAAAATTATAACTAGTCAATTATAATTTCTATTATTGAAAAAAAACCTCAATCACAATTTTTATTTAAAAAATAATAACTTTTATTCTGTTAATCGCAATAATTGAATAAGAAATCATAACTTATCATGTATTATTTTTATTATTAAAAAATAAGTTCTTAAAATAATAAACCTCATTAACGACTTTTGTTTAAAGAATTATAACTTTTTTTAAATAATTATAATAATTAAATAAGAAATCACAAATTGTCAATAAAAATAAAATAATTTTTTAATTTCAAATTTATTAAAAAAAATTTTAAAAAATTTCATTAAAATTATAACATTTTATGATATCAGAATGTCATTTTTATAATTTAAAAAAATTTTATTATCATTTTTTTATAAAACACTTAAAACTTTGAGGTAGCTTGTTGATTTCATAAGATTAAGAATATTTAAAATTTCTATGAAAGATCACTACCCGTCTGACACGGAAGGGGAAGGGAGATTTCCAATTGTAAGATGCCAACAACTTTACAGCTACATTTTTTAATATCATTTTTGTAACTTGTAATCAACACAAAATTGTAATGCATTTAATGTAATCACTGTTGAGGCAACTGCAGCCCATTCACCATCTACAATTAAAAAAAAAATAGCAATCTATATAAGAAACTAAGGGTGAGCATCGGTCAGTTCAATTTTAAAATATACAGGATCGATCGATCGAATAATATTGAAAATGAAAATCGAATCAAACCGAACAAACCAATCGAATCGAACAAGGACTGAACCGAAATTTGATAATTCAGTTTGGTCAGTTAATTCAGTTTTTTAGTTTCATATTAAGATATTGAAATTGGGCCCATTTTTTAAATATTAAAACAAATAATACTATAAAATTGGGCCTTTTTTTTATTCGTTTTTTCAATATGAGCCCATTCTAATTACACTCATATGACATAAAGTTTAAATATTATAAAAGCATAGATAATTAAATAAACAACCACAAATAAACATTGATAATCAAATAATGGCCCCATAATCCAGTCACAACACCTACTGGTGAGAGTGACTAATCGAAATAGGGTTTCAAGTAATGTTATTATTTTTTATTCTTATTCTTTATTAAAATAAAGAATAAAAAATAAAAATAAAATAAAATAATTTATAAATTAAATATAAATTAATAAATTATATGTAATTCGATCAGTTTGGTCTATTCAATTTTAAATTTTACTAACCGATCAACCGAAATATTTAAAATAAAAAAACTGAATCGAACCGAAAAATCAAATAGACCGAATCAAATAGACCAAATTTGATTCAATTCGGTTCGATTTTTGATTTCGGTTCGGTTTTGCTGACCCCTACGAGAAACTACTTTACATTTTATTATTTTTAATTATAAATAAAATTACAAATTTTAAAAAGTACTCCTTCTATTTAAAAATAAAAAATATTTTTAACCAAATCTCACCTCCCAATAAAATAATTACTTACTTTTTAATTAACTCTATCTTTTTATATTTATCCTTATTGAACACCCTATAATAAATATGAAGTTATTGTTAATGGGGATACTTTTAAATAAAAAGTAATGATTGCACCTCGAAAGACTAAATAAATGATATAATTAAATAAGAAAATGAAGTAAACATTAATTATAAAGGCATTTTAATCTTAGTATTTCAATTTTAAATATAATTATTAAGCTTAATTAATTTTTTTTAAAGTGCACGAGTTAGTTAAAATTCGCTCATACTCTCTCTAAAGTTTGGACTTTATTATAACATACTACTTTTTAGTATTGGACTTTAATAAGAGATGGTTAAGTTATTGATTTTATTTAAAAATGTAATAAAATTTTATTTTTATTTTTATTTAAATAATTTTTTAAATTGATATTACATTTTTTCACAATTAATAAATTTTAATAGGTGATATTGAAAAAAACGTTAATACCTAATTAATTGTCTTGCATTAGACCGGAGAGCATATTCCGAAAACCGGGCGAGTATATTATAAGTTGTGACACAACCTACGTGCAAGGCTCCAAAAATAATTGAGGTTGGCAACTTCCAATGGTTCCCAAAACACGTGCGCTGCGTAGGAAAAGAATCTTGCGCTTAAAGCTGCTCGTGAGCCGTGAACTTGCACAGTTAATTAATTTTCGTTAAACCTTTGGAGTTAAAAATTTAAAAAATACCAATCAGAAAATTGACCCAAGTATAAATTTAATACCTTTTGACGTTTGTCATTTGCTATATGTTGAAGAGCCGAGTTAGGAGAGTGGAAAACAGAGGAATCCACAGCACTGTGAAGGAAGGTTGGTATTTGGTAGTTTCAAAGCAAATTGAAGGCCTCGCGGAATAGTGTTGTGATCCTGCTCTGACTCTTCGTTCGTAAATCATGTCAGCTTCAGGTATCGCAGGTTGCCAACAGTGGCGGACTCTCTGTCCCTTTTTTCTCAAACTAAGTTTTCAACTTCATCGCCCTATGTTCACTAACTATCTCTGTAATTGTCACAGATTCTCCATCTTCTTTCCCTTTGGACCATGGCCTTGTGAAGCCTTCAATCCCTCTCGTCTCTTTTCTCGAACGCCTGCAAGAAACAGCGGTAAACACCTTCGGCAAATCTAACGTCGACGCAAAAACCTACGTTGACGTGTCGTTGAAGTTCAACTTGTCTGAGACAGAGGAGGCATTTGATAAGCTTGCTAGGTCTGCTAATGGCTCTGTACCAGCCAAGGAGTTGAATGATTTTATAGAAAGATACTTGAATGGTGCAGAGGACGACATGGAGCAATGCGAACCAGAGGATTTCGTAGAAGAGCCAGAGGGATTCTTGCCCAAAGTTGAGCATCCAGAGGTGAGGGCATGGGCATTGAAGGTCCATTCCCTTTGGAAAAACTTGAGTCGCAGGGTATCCAGTCGGGTCAAAAGCCATCCCCATTTGCATACTCTACTTCCTTTGCCTGCTTCTTTTGTCATTCCTGGTTCACGCTTTCGTGAGGTTTATTACTGGGATTCCTACTGGATAATCAGGTTACTTTATTATTATGATCGTTACTTTACTCCAGCTGTGCTGTTAATACAGTAGAAAATTGATAGCCAACATGATATTTTTAGCTTTCCAAATCTACATTCCATAAAAAATTGATGAAGTCTTCATATCAAACCAAAGCAACTTTAGATTTGTATTGGCCAGTTCTTTTAAGCGTACGCCTCTTGGACGCTGCCTTTCGGGTTGGAAATTGTCTCAAGGACCATTACTTATACTTTGAGGTGCAGGGGCTTACTGGTGAGTAAAATGTACAAGACAGCCACGGCAATTGTGACTAATCTCATTTCTTTGGTTGACGAATATGGATTTGTGCCTAATGGTGCAAGAGCCTACTACACCCATAGGAGGTATCGATTTCCTATTTATTCTTCTTGCTTTTCTGCTATTTGTGTTTCGTAGAACTTAGGAGTGTAATGCCAGAGGACCGTGACAGTGAAAATGAAAATAGCAGAATAAAGTTTCTTCATTGATTGCATGCTTTGGTCTGTACTCTTTATACTGTTCTCCCATATAAACAGGAAGAGGAATACTAGAAAGTAAATGAAACGACAAAGCATAACTGAATGCAAGAATAAGTCTAGATGTAAATAAGACAAAAACACTAAGCGGCAGTAGTCAAGAGTCAAAAGAAGACTTTGAGATGGCTTTATGCTGATGGTTTCTATCAAATTGTTTGTGTCTTACATGCTGAACAAGTTTGGTTACGATTTTGCAGCCAGCCTCCCCTTTTAAGTGCTATGATTTATGAGATCTACAGTACCACTGGTGATATAGAACTGGTCAAAAGATCACTTCCTGCACTAAGGAAAGAGTATGAGTTTTGGAATTCAGGTAATAGAGCACAACTCATGATTCAAATGCTGGACTTCATGGTTTATTATCTGTGATTGAACCATATTTTGTGGTATAAATTTTTCTTCATTTGGCTTTTCCCAAACTTTGTGGTTTTACCTTTTATTTATCATGTAGAAATACATAGAGTGACCATTATGGATCCTCAAGGTTGCACTCATACCTTAAATCGTTACTATGCGATGTGGAATAAACCCAGGCCAGAGGGTTCAGTGAAGGTATGAATTTCCGTTTTGGATCTATCTTATCAATCAAATGGAGTTAGAATCGTAGCTTTTGGCGATTTCACGGTGCAGGACAAGGCATTTGCTTCCAAGGTTTTGGATGTTCCAGAAAAACAGAACTTTTACCGTGAAGTTGCTACAACTGCCGAATCAGGGTGGGATTTTAGCACCAGATGGATGAGGTAATTATTTTGTCATGACATATTTCAAGAAAACTCAGCTGGATGTTTGCGTCGGCAATGAGATGTATCTATGGCAATTCATGGTGTTTATTAGGCTTACATGTTACCTTTGAATGGTCAGCACTAGTTACAGCTTTAATAAACTATGCAAATTGCAAGCAATCATGTGATTGTGATGCTGTTTTGGTGCAGAGATCCGCTAGAGTTTACATCAGTGGCTACAACTTCTGTAATACCTGTTGATCTAAATGCATATATTCTTGGGGTATGTCTTAGAACAATGACTAAAACAAGTCCTGAATCTCTGGTCTTTGACCTGATTTGTGCTGTGATGCATGTTTGTTCAGATGGAACTTAATATTGCATTTTTTGCAAAAGTTACCGGAGATAATAGCACTGCTCATCACTTCCTGCAACTTTCTGATAGTAGAAAGAAGGCACTTAACTCTGTTTTCTGGGACGTAAACATGAAACAATGGCTTGATTACTGGCTCACAGATAGTATATGCCAGGTATTTTGTCTATCTGGTTTTGCGTGTACACATTTGTCATTGCTGGATTTCCCCACACTCTGCAATACTACTGAATTATGCTTTTTAATACTTCTAGGGAGTTCAAGTCTGGGAAGATCAGCAGCAGAATCACAGTGTATTTGCTTCCAACTTTGTTCCTTTATGGATGGAACCATTTTACTCAGGTAAATTTGATTTCATGACTGGATCTTTTGACCATTGCTATGTGTTTAATCTTGGCTACAAGGTCAAGCTGAGTTTTCTACTATATACTCACCCATTAGCTCTCACTAATAACATCAGCTTAAGACTTGACTCGACGTTGTTGCCAGCATCCTATCACTTTTTATAGAATGCCATTTTGGTCTACTTGACTTTTGAGTTAGTTGCTGTTATTTATGATATTGATCTTGCATGCCAAATTTTTGCAAGCATAGAATGGACATGAAGTCTCAGAAATGAGTGCAGAACACTTCAGTCTCTTATATTAGCATGAACTTCAAGGATGATCATGAAAACAAGAGGTCTTGATTTTGAAGATGGTTTCAACCTTTGCATTTTCTTCTGTTGCGTTAGAATGATACAAAACTGAGAAGACATGAAGGGACAGGAAAATAAAAGAGAATAGATTCAACCAAAGTGGAAGATTGCTTTAACTGAAATCATGCGGTAACTTGTGCTTAGATTAGTATGAACTCCTACAATAGCTAGAGATTTTGAATTCGAAGATGGTTTCAACGTTATTTGTTCTGGTGTTTTATTAAAATGAGATATGTTTGAAAAAATGTGAGAAGATATAGGGATAGGCTAATAATTTTCTGGAAAAGGAATCACAAAATAAGGTCATGGAAATGCAAAAACAAGCCAAAAACAAACTGATAGGAATGAAGCAAAATCTAACTACTTTACCATTATAAAGCATTGATGAGAGAGCTTTGAAGCAGGGGTTCATCAGCACGTTGGCTTACCCTTTTTTTTTTTTTTTAAAAATATATCTTTAGATTCTTTGATTGTGGGGAGCGTTGTTGAAAGTCTCAAGACTTGTGGGCTTGTTCGTGCTGCTGGAGTTGCAACCTCTTTGACAAATTCAGGACAACAGTGGTAAGTTAGAACTTAGGACAGCATTAGAGATTAAGCTTATGTTAGTGTTATGACTCGTGAGATTTTGTTAACAGGGACTTCCCAAATGGCTGGCCCCAAATTCAACATATGATAGTTGAAGGTCTGGTGAGATCTGGGTTGAAAGAAGCAGCCTCACTGGGAGAAGAAATTGCAAGGAGATGGATCACAACCAACTATATCGCCTACAAGAAAACAGGGGTGATGCATGAAAAATATAATGTGGAGCATTTTGGCGAGTTTGGAGGTGGTGGAATATATGAGCCCCAGGTGTGTGTGTGTGTGTGTGTGACTCAAAATCTTACATTTTACTTCACATTTAAGAAAACTATCTGAAATGTTTGATTGGGATGCAATGCAGACTGGTTTTGGGTGGTCTAACGGAGTAGTGCTTGCTTTCTTGGAGGAGTTTGGATGGCCTCGAGATCTCCATATTGAGTGTTCATCGATTTCCTCAGAATTTGACAACATTGACAGTTGAAGTTGATCGCATATGATCTATTGTAATTGTATTGTTTTGTTTACGCCCATGCTAGTAGCTACTTGCAATATAATTGAAGCTGAGTACAGTGTACTCTCTACTTTTGTGTTGTTCGCGGTCTTGCTGATTTCAATGTAGTTGAAGGTGAACAAACTACACACTTTAGTTGATTTGATTGTGATGAAGTATGGAGTATGAAAAACAAGAAAAGTCATTTTGAATAATTCATTTTATTACCACTTGCTTTACAGAGTATCCCAAGACGACAACATACACAGGGTGTGAGAAGGTGAGAGGTGATACAGGTGCATAAAGATATACATGTAGCCCTAGGATTACAGAATTCTAGAAACCTTCAGGATAAGGATTAGGGCATATTAGTCTTTACATATAAATGAGAAAAGGTTTTGGGCTTGATAGTGTTGGGCTGAACATCACAAACCTTGGGCTGGATTTTATCTCCAATAGCCCCCGCAAGCTAAATGGGAGAGGAATGATAGTCAGGCTTGATCGAAGAGTTTCAAAACGCTGAGCAGGTAGTGGTTTGGTAAAAATGTTGGCAATTTGGTCTATGGAACCTAAGAAGGTGACATAAAGAGTCTTGGTAGCAACCCGTTCGCGGACAAAGTGATAATCCAACTCAAGTTGTTTTATGCGAGCATGCATAATAGGATTAGCAGATAAGTATGTAGCGCCAATGTTGTCCCAGCAGAGTGTAGGAGGAGTAGAAAGAAAAATACCCAATTCCTTTAACAAAGATTGAAGCCAAATAAGATCACAAGTAGCAAGAGCCAAAGAACGATATTCAGCTTCAGTGGATGAACAAGCTACAATGGGTTGTTTTTTTGCTAACCAAGATATCAAATTATGACCAAAGAAAACACCAAGACCACCAGTGGATCTTCTATCATCATGACAACCAGCCCAATCAACATTAGAGGAGGCAATTAAAGAGGATGATGGACATTTGCGAATAAACAAACCAAAATCGACAATGTGTTTTAAATATCATAAGATCCTCTTAACAGCAATCCAACGAACATCAATAGAAGCATGTAAGAATTTACAAACCTTATTAACAATAAAAGAAATATCTAGCCTGGTAAAAAATAAGTATTGTAAGCTACCAACCACACTACGATATAAAGAGAAATTATGAAATGGTTTTCCATGCAACAATGATAGAGAGGCCCTAGACACTATTGGCGTTCTCATAGGTTTGCAACAGAGCATGTTAGTCTTACTCAATAAATCCATAATATATTTTTGTTGAGTTAGAAAAAGACCAAAAGAAATTGGAATGACCTCAATAACCACAAAAAAATGAATATTGCCCAAATCTTTCACTGGGAACAATTGACTTAACTGAGCAATGTAATAAGTCATAGTAGAAGCATTAGAAGTCATGATTAAAATGTCATCATCATATACCAAAACATAAGTAACAGATGAATCGGTGAGAAGAGTAAAGAGAGACGTATCAGATTTAAATGCCACAAATCTAAGCTGCACAAGACAGTTGCTAAGAGGAGAGCACCAAGCTCTCAAAGCTTGGTTGTGGCCATAAATTGATATCTGAAGTTTACAAACATAGTGTGGATGAACTGGATCTCTAAACCCAGGAGGTTGCTTTATGTAAATTTCCTCTTTGAAACCCAACTACATCAATGGTCCTAACTAAAAGAAGATGATTTTTTGCACAAAAAATTCACGAAAAAACATGTCAATTCCTAACTAAAAGAAACCCAACTACATCAATGGTCCTAATAAGGATGTGTATTGTTTTAGTCCCAACTCCCATTTGAAAGCCTGATTCGTGACTTGATAACGACTTAATTTTGGTTCAACTTGACTTAGTTATGAAGATGATTTTTTAATTCAAATCAAGTGGCTAATAGTTCTAGTTGATAGTTCAACCAGTTCAATTGTCTGGTTCTTAAAACAATGCTCGAGTGATCATATGAACAGCTTCCATATAATCTGTGACCTCCACCTGCATCATACCCTTGCACCAGCAAAGTTCCAGCCCTTAGTTGAGTAAGTAGTTTTTTTTTATAGCTAGGTGCTAAAGCTAGAGCGTGATAATGGTGGGTCTCTATCGTGACCTTGTGCAATACAGTAGAAAAATGGCGTGATCTCCGTTGGGGCACTATCTAGTCTCTGTCACTTTTTCTGCAAAACACTACCCATATGACATGGATGAAATTGAAATCCTTGGAAGAATGTTGGATTCTTAATTAATTTAATGCGTTTGTTAGGCTCCTCCATTTGGGGTTCTCTGGCATTACTTTACCTTTCCTTTTTCTTTTGTGCATCTTCTGGTGGAGATGTGTCCAACCCCCTGTTACCAATCAAACAATTGTCAGATATTATATAAACACGGTGTAATCAAAGGAGGAATAGAATAAAGAAATTACAAGGAAAGAGGTGGAAGGATGATTAGTATCACTAGAAGATATTTTATAGTTATTAAGTGGATTGAGAAACTGGAAAAGCTTCAGCTCTAAATCTAAGGATGCGGGTCCTCCAAGATTCGACCCAAACAAAAGAAAAGGAGAGGCAATCATTGAAGAATTGTAGCATTCAAATGACGCCACACTCCCAATAATTAAATGCTAATTAAACTATAGTATAGGATTATAAGGATATAAATATAAAGTTTAGCCACCCTATAGAATGAGTGAGTGACAAGTAAATAATGGAATATCCAATCCCCTATCTATACCATTTTTTTATATATGCAAGTTGATTGATTCATGGAATTTGATCCTGCTCTTGATTCCACTGGTCAAATAAAGTTGGCTAATTAATCACCCAAAGCAAAGCAGAGGATTTGGTTGATGATTGGGATTGCTATAAAAACGGCTTTATAATGTCAGATGGGTTTGTGTTTATATGCAGGAGACAAAAAAATTAGGAGAAAGCAACTTTTAGCAACAGGGAGTGGTTATGTGTAGTTATATTATAACATTACTGGACTAAATATACTTAATTATTTGTAAATGGTAATATCGTCATATCATTTAGGTAAAGTCATGAAGAAAAATAAAAAATTTAAAAAAATATAGTATATTTGATTATTAAAAATTATAGCTACCTTAACTAATTTATATTATAAATCACTACTATTAACTAGCAATAACTATCATTATTAGCCTATTTTTTAATTTTAAAATTTTATATTAATATTAAAAAAATGGATGTTCATTTTTTTTCTATATTACAAAACAGTTTTTTTAAAAAAAAGAAAGATAAAATAAAAATAACTTGAAATTATTTCTATTTTAAAAAAAACGAAAAACAATTTTTAAAAGAATTAAATAAAAAATAACTATCCAAAAAAAATTTTATATTTTTATATTTTCAAAAATAAAAATATTGTTTTGGTTAAAAAAATAAAAATAAATTTTAAAAACTGAAAACAAACCTGCCCTTATTCATTGCCAGACTTAATTTGTTTTTAATAATTGTGAAAGATGTGAATTGATTCATGAGGAAGAAGAAATGTAGAAGCAATCAGCTTACTCATAGCGTACCTATGTTGCGTGGGGCTTGTACGAGGGATCAGATATTTCGAAACTGGTACTTAATTGTCATGTGATGTTCCTAAATTTAAACATTAATTCTCAATTTAAATTGAAGCGAGGGAGAGTAGATTAAGACATGAATGAAATGAGAGAGTCAGAAGTTTGAAGAGGAGGAAGTGAACACCATTCCGAGGAACTCGAGAACGAGGATTGACCGATAATAAATGCGCAACAAACAGCTTGTCAAAACAGATTAAACAGAAATAAAAAAGAAATCTCAAGAACACGTGACATTCAGGTATGCTAATTCGATCGTGGGGCTCTACTAGATGATTTAAAAGTGAAAGCGTTAAAGAAGAAAAGTTTTGGAATAAATTGAGAAAAAGAGAAGATAATTGAGAGCACAATGCAAAGAAGAAGTTAAAGTATAAAGAAGAGCTTTTTGGATTATTTGAAGGAGAGAGGGACGGGAATGCACACAATTGAGTTGAGTTGGAGGGCGAAACTAGAATAATAGGCTAATAGCAACTCAGGAGAGGTGGAAAACGAGAGGGGAAATGCATAAAAGTGGCTTTTGTCATATCAAATTAATCACCGAAAAAGGAACAGCGCATCGGAATCGGATCTGAATACGTATATCTGCAACTATGAATAATCAAACAAATTAAGTGTTATCCTATAATTAGAGAGCTGGACATGGTCAAATCTCTCAACCCTACCACGTTTATTTAATGCAGCACGGTGCACGGAGGTTGGTGCGTCCATGATCCATCTCATTCACTTCTTCACACTACACACAAACACACACATTTTCTTTCTCTCTCCCTATCGGAATCGGAATCGGCGGTTACTATGGTGGACACTCTGAAGTATCTGATGGGCTCGCCAGGCCCTTCCGGGTTTGGCTCTGGTTCTACCGCCGAACAAGTCACCGAACCGGCCTCCTCCAACCTTTCCTCTGTCACCGCCATCATTACCGGTACTTTCCTAATCTCTCATTCTCCCTCTCCCTCTCCCTCTCTCGTTCTTCTTTCTTTGTGTCAGATGCTGAGAATTGATGTTTATGCGCGCAGGCGCGACGTCGGGAATCGGAGCTGAAACTGCGAGGGTTCTGGCGAAGCTTGGAGTGAGGTTGATTTTGCCGGCTCGAACCCTGAAAGCTGCCGAAGACGCTAAAGCTCGAATCCTCTCCGAGTCTCCCAACTCGCACATCATTGTGATGCCTCTCGATCTTAGTTCTCTCCGCTCTGTTCGGGCCTTCGTTTCTCACTTCCATTCCCTCCGTTTACCTCTCCACCTTCTCATGTAACTCTCTCTCTCTTCCCTTCCCTCCTCACTCTCATCTATTACTCGCTGACACTGTATATTCCTTCTTCTTCTCCTTTATAGAAACAACGCTGGAAAGTTCGCGCATCATCACGCAATCTCCGAAGATGGATTTGAGATTACCTTTGCAACGAATTATCTAGGTGAATAGATCAGGAGTATTGTCTTGTATATATGGACAAGTTTTGATTGGGTTAGATTATGTAATTAATTAAACGTGATATTCATGAATGGGTATGTGGCAGGTCATTTTCTGTTGACGGACTTGCTGTTGAAGACGATGGTGGAAACGGCGGAGAAGACGGGGATCCAAGGAAGGATCGTCAACGTGTCTTCCAACGTACATGGCTGGTTTTCCGGCGACATTATCCGATATCTAGCTCTTATTACCCGCGACCACAGGTAGTTAATTAATTAATCATAATTAGGTGCTCGCAGAACAAGAGTAGTCTCTGGAAGAATATTAATATTGGCTGAACAAAATTACAAATCTGGTTTGACTTCTCCTTGATTAATTTGTTCCATTTGCCTTAATTTGTCTCTTCAGCCATTACAACCCCACACGTGCTTATGCTCTGTCTAAGCTCGCCAACATCTTACACACCAAGCATCTTGCTCTCAAGCTCCAGGTCCGTTCATCTATCAATATCTATAAATAAATAAACCATCCCTCAATTATTGATTTCTATTAGTGTCTATTATTATTATTATTATATTATTAAAAAAAAGTCTTTTTTTGTTTTTTCCCATCTTCCTATGTTTATCACGTATTTTTATAGTCCTGCACATATAATAGGACGATCTCTCGTCTGGTGCTTATGCAGCAAATGGGAGCTAACGTGACTGTGAATTGCGTTCATCCGGGGATAGTCAGGACCAGGCTCACCAGGGAACGTGAAGGCTTACTTACAGGTTATTAATTACACCTATCTTCACTTGTAATCACAACTATTTGAAAATCTCTGTCAATTGTTTATTGGAATTTTTGTATATTGCAGATATAGCGTTCTTTTTAACTTCGAAATTCCTCAAAACCATCCCCCAGGTAACGCTTCACATTTGTATCTCTGTCCTCCGTCTAAGCTCTGTGTGTGTGTGTGTGTTTGTTTGTTTTTTTTTTAAGCAAGCAGTAGAAAATGACAAAAACGCAGTATGTATATTAATATTATTTATTACAATTATATGTTTACTTATGTATAATAATAATAATATGACTAAAGCTCGTGCAAAATCAAATGTAGGCTGCTGCGACGACATGTTATGTGGCGACGCATCCGAGGCTGTTAAATGTGTCCGGCAAGTACTTTGCTGACTGCAACGAAGCTTCCATGTCAAAACCAGGATCCAGTTCAACGGAAGCTGCAAGGTTGTGGGAAGCTTCCGAATCTATGATCTCCGTCGGCCCCAAATCTCTTCTCGACCTCCTCGACGACAGTGAATGAAATTAATCTATGGATACACACACACATTAGAAAATTAGTATAAATACAAGTATATGTATACAAGTTAGTTAGTGGTTTAGCTTTAGCATTGAAGTGTTAGCCAGGGTGCATGAACAAGGCAGTGTAAATTACTTAGAGTAAACGTCAGAAAAAATTGAGAAGCTGGAATTATTTTATGTGGGATTATAGTTGGTTTAAAATATTTGTGCTTTAGTTTGCCATAATGATTATATGATTATATGGTGGTTTAGGCTGTTTGTATATAATATTAAACCTGCCCTAAAAAACCTCTCATTGTACACTTGATTTTTCTTTTCTATGTTATGAAACTTTGATTGGGTATATCATGGAGAAGGAGAGGGAGAGAGTTAATAGCATAGTTAAGGCAAAATAAGGAAAGTCTGATTGAAGATTATATACAGATAGAAGAAGATGGAGTGGGTCAGGGCATGGCCACGTGGTGGGTGATATTGGGAGAGTATCTTTCTCATGTGATGTGGATGGGAACCACTAACATGCGGCAGAGGGAGGACAGAAGGCGTGGGTTTAAAGAAACAAAAACTGTTGACGTTAAGTCACAATCATAAATTCGTACTACGCTATTGGACACCCCTTTTTTCTATGCATAAGAATGCATATGAACAGTTGGGTTATGTACGTCCTTTCTCACTTTAGTCAGCATTCTTTTTCCTTGTTTATTTATTGGGATGGTGAGTTAGTTGCGGTCCCCCATCACCCAGTTCACGGAAAAGAGAGGATGAGAGATTTTAAACGAATTAATTAATTTAAATTAAATTTTAAATATTAAATTTTAAAAATTTATAACTTAATTTTTTAATTTATAATTTTATCATGATAAATTTATAATTTATATTTTAAATTTTAATAAAAAATAATTTTTTATTTTTAATATTTTAAGATTTTAAAATAAATTATAATATAGTGGTAAAATTAAAATATTGAGTTATAAATTTTTTAAATTTATCATTTAAAATTTAATTTAAATTAATTAATTTTTTTGGAATTTCTATCACTCTCGCCACAGAAAATTGAAAAATTGTCAGCAGCAACCTTGAAAAAAGGTCCTATGTTGATTTACATCAATTCAGTTCATAGAATAGAACCTAAACGAAAAAGAGAGAGAGAATATCAGAGCAGTATTCAAAGGGTGTTTGGATTGACCAGATTTGTCGGCGGCGAGCTTACGAGGGGTGATTTAATTTATCAGGAAGGAAGTTGTTTGCTTTACGCTCTAGGACGCAGAACAGAGAGGCCGGTCTTGTTAAATTCGTTGCGATAATGAGTGGAAATTTTGATCAAACCTGCAAAAATTGAATTTGCTGGAAAAGGTTAGGAAACGGCAAGGGAAAATTTCAATTAAAACTCTTGAACTATATTTACTTAAATTTAAAGCCTTTAAATTTTTTAAATTTTACTACAATGATATGATTTGATATTAAATTTTTTAAAAAAATAATAAAATTATTTGTCATTTAAATTAATATCAAAACTTTCATACTTCAATTCTTCATTTATTTATAAAATATTGTTTATTACTTTATTTAATTTGTTCTCATTTTAAGTGTTTAAATCATCTTAAAATAATTTACTGATTCCTATATTATATATTGTTCATTTATTTATGATCTATTGTTAATTGTTATATTTCACTTGTTCATTATTCTATTTTACTTATTTAATGCCAGACTTTCACTTGATTTTATTTTAAAAAAATGAACAAGTGAAATAAAATAATTAATAATATTATATAAGTAAATGAATAAGTGGAGTGGAACAATGAACAAGTAAAGTAAGATTGTTATGATATTAATTTAAATAAAAGATAATTTTATTATTTTTTAAAAAAAAATTAATATTAAATTAGTATTTTTAAATTACAGTAAAATGTTAAAAATTTAAAAGTTTTGAATTAAAATAAGTATATTTAAAGAGTTTTTATTGAAATTTTACCAAACGTTAACGCCTTGAACTTTCGACCAAAAGAAAACAAAAGAAGTTGACGCCTTGAACTGCTGTCCATGTATGGGAAATATCTGTCTTTGAATTGACGGTTCAGCCTTCAGCGAATGAAAGGGTTTTATGGTACGCTGCTTAAAATCATTTTTCAAACTTTTTCACTTATGACTTCTGAATGTGAATACTCTGCCGGTCTGCCCTGGGTCCGCTAGTCTTTGACGCTCAGGAAAAGAACCATCAGCAACAGCTCTGTTAATCTAAAGCCCCGATTGGTATGATAAAATTTTTTTAATAAAATTAAAATTAAAATTAAAACAAAATTAAATTTTAAAAGTGTGTTTAGTATAAAAATAAAATTCTAATATAATATTATATGTAGTGGAATTTACAAAATGAATTTAAGGAAATTTAAACAATTCCATCGTCAACATGGTGAAATTAAATTTTAATATTTTTGGTGATTAAAATTCTTAAAAATCACAACTCTTACATAGCAATTATGTTTAAATTATGATTCTATTTTTGACTCCGTTTTTATTTTATCAATTCAATGATATCAAATATGACCTAGGTGTAACATTGAGCACGGGGATAAGGGGGAAATATCTTGTAAAGAGAACCAATTCATAAATTCTGCACTGCGATGTCAAAAATCTTGTTGAAGCTCGACCCCAGATTTTTAACATAACTTCAAGAGTGGGTTCTTATTGAGCATTTCGCCCTTTTAATCCTCACACCCAATTTTCCCAAATCCAGTGAAAGATGAGCAACCTAAAATGCTAACTCCTAAATAACAGACCATGGATCTAGTTTTCCTTACTTGGGCCCAAATGTAAGCTAGGTTCCATTTTTTTTCATTCCACAAAAAAGATATTGGGTTTGGGCCCTTGACGCACAAAACAATAATTGCCCACTCAAGTTGAAACGGTACTCATCTATGAGTGCTTACAGTTACAGGTTCTAATCCACAATTTATTTTCTTTAATTTGATTGTGGCTCTTATTGATCAAGATTAAACACTAAGTTTTTTTTAAGTTTTATATATATAAGAAAAAGATTTACAGATACAGCACCTAAAGTAAGCTTAGGCAATAAGAAGAGAGTGTGGTCTAGATAATGATCAAGAGTTCTACTTCTCAATTTTTTTTTTTTTTTAAAGACAGACACCTATAAACGCACAAGCACATATATGTAATGTTCGCAAGCTTAAGACTTAACACTGATGTTGCAGATGGTTAAGGGTTATGAATTTGATCTATGTGGTGTTGGACTCAAGGACGAATCCAGAAATGGTCATATTCGGGGAAAACTGAAAATTTATCTAAAATTGGGGGGATTGATTTCAACATGTTTTACAAATAAAAATTTTCATATTTATTAGGAATGGTTTAGAGTATGGGGGGCAATGGCCCCTACATGCTCTCTCCTAAAATTCGTCGATGGTGGTGGTCACAATGGGAAGGGGATGCTGCTGCCCACAGTCCGAACAACATTTAAGCTATTCAGATTATTGGATCTTTTATTAAGTCTAGACTTCCTTTCTTTTTTCTTCTTTCTTTCTATTTTTTAAATTTTACTTGTTGCTTATTTTCCCTTAAATAAAAAACTATAAAAAGAAAAAAAATCTCTTAATTTATATTGGTAAGATAAATATTAGAAGGAAGACCAGGGATTAATTTCCCATAACATAGCAAACCAATATTCAAATTTTTATTGAGAGATGTATCCGTATTTAATGCCCGACTTAATCCTGAATAGGGATGGTTGCTTGTGATTCTCTTTGGTGATAACTTGAAATTGGAGAATTTGTTGTAACATCGGAATTGACTTTGGAAATGGGATCTAGAAAAATAGAAGGATGCACATGAGATGTTGCTTTTAGGCTACAGATGATATCACATCAGGTAATTTGTGGCTCAATCCCCAATTCGGCACTATGCAACACCATTGGTTGAACATATTGAAGAATATATCGAGTTAAATTTGGTCACATAATTAAGTGAAGCGATTGTTGCTAGCTACTCACCTAATAAATTCCTTCTTCATCGGTGCTAGCCACAACCAAATGTCACACTTGTGTATATTCAAGGCAAGAAGATTATGTAGTTTTTTTTTTTTAATTGATCTTGTTCAACTTGTTGGCTAGCAAGCTTTCGAAAATACCTAGAATGATAATATCATCGGCTCCTTCATGATGGGTGATGAGAAGAACCATGGATTTGTTGTTTGTTGATTTATTTTGATGGAAATGAAAGGCATTTGTTAATCTTTGGGGAATTTAATCAGTCAGCGTTCAATTTGCAAAAAATATATTCCCATGACTATTGGGTACTTGGAATGTAACATTCTATTCTTCTAAATATATGTGGTGACATTATTATACTGGCAATTCTTAACCACGGATCGCTTTCCTTCTCTTTCATTAAATTGCATAATCAAAAGGTGGTACATATTCCCACTCAAAATCATTCCCTATCTCTTCTTCTTCTCTCTATAAATGAGGTCAAACTAAACATATCCACCTTAAAGCTAGCTTTATCTTCGCTCCTCCTCTTCCATCAACTTCATCCATGGACGCATCTTGGTGGCCTCAGGTATACTCCATATCCCTTACCTTCTTTTTCATTATTTTTTCACACTTAAATTACATATATATATATATATATATATCACATCTAGTTTAAATTTTGTTTCGTGATATCTCATCAATAAACTATGCGAGTTATCAATTTGATTGGGTTCGTAAGTTCTTTGTAACTAGATACGCAGAAAATTTTGATTTTCCTTTTGTGATAGATCCTAAAAAGTGTAAAGTAAGGCAACAAGCTACAAGTTGTTTGCTTTTTCTGGCAGAAGCATGATGTTTAATTACATGGAATTTGTATATGTGAATTGAACTGAGTTGTGCTGTGTGACTGTGATATGTAGGAGATGGTGATGAAACCAAAACAAGAGATAATGACAAATTCATGTGGGAAAGCGGGTGAGAGGAAGACAAGGGCTCACAAAGATGAAGCCTCAATAAAGTGTCCAAGGTGCGATTCAATCAACACCAAGTTTTGTCACTACAATAACTACAGCCTCACATAGCCTTAATATTTCTACAAGACTTGTTGAAGGTATTGGACTCAAGGTGGTTCTCTCATAATTAAACATCCCTGTGGGAGGCACTTCGAAGAAGAACAAGAGATCTTCTTCTACTACTAATAATTTTGATGATACTAATTCTTGCTCCAAAAAGTTTTCTTCTCAATATCCAAGTTTGCCGTCATT